TTTTGTATTAAAATAAAGTTATCGAATTGTTAGAAACATTGTTCTCCATGAGAAAATAATTTTAAAACCAGTTTTGAAATGACTGTTGAAATGCTTTCATAACAGGACAAAAATGAAGCAAACTAATGTAAATGATGAGATTTTTGAAACATCTTTAATGAGTAAAAAAATATTCATTTAAAATCCATTTTCACTAAACTACTTAGGACATTATGTTTTTGCTTTCATTTTAAAAGCAAAGGTCGGGGCTTCCCTGGTTGCTCAGTGGTTAGGAATCCGCCTGCCAATGCAAGGGACACGGGTTCAATCCCTGGTCTGGGAAGATCCCACATGCCGTGGAGCAACTAAGCCTGTGCGCTACAACTACTGAGCCTGCGCTCTAGAGCTTGTGAGCCACAACTACTGAAGCCTGCACACATAGAGCCAGTGCTCCGCAACAAGAGACGCCCCCGCAATGAGAAGCCCACTCATCGCAGCTAGAGAAAGCCCGCTTGCAGCAATGAAGACCCAACGCAGCCAAAAATAAAATAAATTTAAAAAATAAATAGAATTTAAAAATAAAATAAAAGCAAAGGTCGGGGCTTCCCTGGTGGCTCAGTGGTTAAGGATCCGCCTGCCAATGCAGGGGACATGGGTTTGAGCCCTGACCCGGGAAGATCCCACATGCCGCGGAACAACTAAGCCCGTGTGCCACAACTACTGAGACTGTGCTCTAGAGCCTGTGAGCCACAACTACTGAAGCCCACGCGCCTAGAGCCCATGCTCCGCAACAAGAGAATCCACAGCAACAAGAAGCCTGTGTACCGCGATGAGGAGTAGCATCCTCTCGCTGCAACTAGAGAAAGCCCACTCACAGCAATGAAGACCCAACGCAGCCAAAAGTAAATAAATAAATAAACTTATAAAAAAATAAATAATAAGCAAAGGTCAGAGGATTTTATTATCTGATGATCATGTTATTCATACAGTATAGATAGAATCAGTTAAGGATGCTTGAAAAGGGATTCAAGTGTCTATTAGAAGAGTTCAGTTTTATACATATATAAATGGTCTTCCAAAGCTGCTATATCATCACTAAATACATGAAAATAATAAAAGAAGCACACCTGTGAGAAAAAGTTGACATTTAATTTAAGAGTAATTTCATTGCATTAAAACTTTCTGTGTGTTTATGACTTTAGAGTTTTCTACAGTAAGGTAAATGAGGCAATTTCACCCTTTTTATGTTGCATCTTTGTTAGGAGTGAGCATCATATCTAATTAGGTTCTTTGGTATTATTTTTGGTAAATGCACTGGCAATTCATGTTTTGTTTGTTTTGTTTTATGTTTGCTGCATTAGCATTACTTAGCAGACAAAGTTTAAAAAAAAAAAACAACAGAAAACCTTTGTAAACCAGGAAGAAAAGTTCCAAGGAAAATATATTGCTAGAAATTAAAATGCGTATTTGAACAGAACTTGTAGAACTAAATATTAACTAAATTTCATTATGACAGGAATAATTGTTTTGCCTGAGCAATATTTCTGATAGTTCACATTTTCCTGAAGATATATAAAAGAAGCAGAATTACTGGTAGTAAGAAAATGCCTGGTAAATGGGAGCTAATTTTATTTTTACCTGACCGTCTGGTAGCCAAGCACTTTAAATATTAAACTGAAGCCTGTAGGCTTACAATTAAATTCATTAAATACGGTTTAGTATATTAATGACTTAAAATTATAACAGTATGAATAATTTTTTTTGTAGGACATTTGTCATCATACCTGTATCCACAAAACCTGTGTAAGAACACAATAAATTTGACTCTGGTGTGAACATTTCATAGTGGGTTAAATGTCCAGTTACCTATTTCTTAAAATCCACAGCTATATGTTTTCTCTGACAAATCTGAGTTTGAATTATTTGGATCATTTTCTAATGTGAGCCATAAAAATAAATAGCATACATGCTTAAATGTGCGTTTTTGCATTTCTACAACCTAAAGACCAGTTGGGTTGAAAAAAAATAAAATTTAACAGCTTTTAATTTGTCATGTGGAATCTGATTCTGTGTGCTTTTTATTACCTCCATATATTTATCTAAGTGAAACATAAAATGGTTGTAATAATGGAGAATTTAAAGCAGCTTTTGCACATGAGCAGTAATGCTAACTAATATGGTGAATAAAGACTGAATGTAAATTCTCAGAATTTCTGTTTCTTGTGATGTGTTTGCTAAAATGAGTATATTTTGGTTAGCTGATACAAGCTCCTCATCATCCTGGTTAAGCTATGAAGAAATTTGATGGACAGAATGGAAAAAAAAAAATAGGGAGTAACCATTTACATGCATTTAGAAGCCATATATGTGTATTTGTGTATGTATGTATATATATAATTTTCAAACTGTGATACAGTGTACATTACATCATTATGTCACAGAACCTGTCAAAATGTAGACTCATAGCCCTTTCTTTGCTGGAGTAATGCTTTGATATTCCCACATATACCTCTAGAGATAACCTAGATATGGCAGAAATCAGTATAATCTAATACCACCAGTTCCTATTGATTCTCCCTCATTTATGTCTCTTAAATTCAGCCTCTCCTTTCCATTTTCCTTGCCCCTTGGTTTAGGCCTTGAATTTTATTTCATTTGTACTATTCCAACAGCCACGTTTCTGTCCACAGCACCAACATTTCGCCATTCCAGCCCAATTATTCATTTCTATGAGTTTTATTTATCCAACAAAGCTGGCTATGTCTCTTCACTGCTAACAGAATTCTTTTAGACATCCTATAAATCTATAATATCAAGTCCAAACCCCTTAACTTGGCATACCCATTCTGAAAAAGACCCTAGTTAGCCCATACTTAGGCAATCTGTTAAGTCACACTGCACTCCTAAAAACACCAGAACTTGTCTCGCCTTCCTCCTGTTTGCCTTCTACTTATCCATTATAACGCTCTCGTCTTCTAAAGCTTTCTGGACCCCTCAAGGCAAAAGCAGGTGATTCACTGAAGTGTTTTTTCACAATATTTTGCTCATATCTAATTTAGAGAATTAACTTTTCAATTATTTTATATGCCCATAATCTTAACCATTCTGAGCTCCTTAGAGACAAAGATAATCGTGTTCATATTTGTATCTTTAGAACTAAACATAGTATATGGAAGTGAATGTTCTCACTAAACATTTGTTGAATGAATGACTGGATGAATAAATGAATCCAGGAAGGTCTGGATAAAAGGCCAACAGAAAGATATTATTAGAAAACTTGTTGAATGTAGAAAGACAATTCCAAAGAGTCATAAAACATATACTACATATTATTCTGATTGTCTGGAGACCATTTCACACAGAACAATATTTTCCTCTCATATCATGCTGAATGATATATTTTTCATGATAATGATGAATCAATAGGAAAATATTTTTAATTTTCCATAAACTAAATTTTCCATTAACTTCAGCCATTGTATAAATTTGTAAAACTACATTTATTCTATAAAGTACATTATTTGCATTAATTTAATATAAACTTACATGTGAACTCAGGCCCACAGATCTTACTGTTAAATGTTTGCCCTGTTCTATCTAACTAGCTATCATCTATTTCTGTCTACTCAGATATATTAAATCAGGCCATAATCCAAGGAGATATTCTCTAGAAAAGAATAATGATTCATGGTGCTAGAGCCCTATGAAACTTATCTTGGTTTTCAGATTATTGGCCTTAATATGGTGATTAATGCAAGAAGGGCTAGTGAAAATTTTGTAAGCAAATAAAACCTTGTATGAGGCTAAATATTATTGGGTATGTCTAGATAGATAAGATTACTTTTATAGTTTGTAATATTATATCAGAGAACTCTATACAACACAGCATAATAATAAGCACTGTATTAGGTTCCGTGTCATCTTATGTAACAAGTAAGAGGGTTGCATTAAGCAGTAAGGTCCTTGCCAAGTGTCTTTTTTAATTGTTGAAATGTTTTACATTCTAATGTGAAAAGTACACATCCATGTTTATAAGGAAAAAGTAATTTGTTGTGAGAGAGATATTTGAATATCATTATAAAAATTTCTTTTTGTTTTGCCTTCATGTATCCCATTTTACCTGTATTTTCTTCTAATTGAGGGCGTGATAGCTTGTTAGACTATGTATAATTAAAGACTGCAGCTTTTCGTGAGAATGAATTTTTAAATCCACTACTGGCTAATATAAAAATCTAGTCAGCCTTTGTAAAATTACATTAAATGATCATTAATTTAATTATCTGGTACAAAGAAACAAAGATATGGTCATTGATTTGTGGGAGAAAATAAATTTTGAGCATCTTACTTCCGGATTAAATACTGAAATAGTTTAAACTATATTTTCTTTATAACTGTATGTTGATAAAATATATTATTTCTTTACTTCTTTCATGCTATATCATAATTTCCCATTATTGTTCATATAACAGAGGATAGTATCTTTAAAAAATAATAGTGATCCAAAAATTACTAAATTTTATCTTTATGGATAACTACTATTTTTTCTTTTTAATACACTTTCCAATCATGATAATTTCTAATGAATGCATAGGCATCTAGAAAAATTGAGCATATTTAAGTTTGGTCTCCTTTTCCTCATGAAAAGCCTAGACTTTTCTTTTTTTTCTCTCTCTTTATGATTACAGAGTGGCTGGTCTAAAATCAAGTTGTCTAAGAACAAGCTAAGAATCATAAGCACTAAAACCATATTTCAAAATCTGAGCAACCAATATTATAGAAAAGGCAAAGATATACTTGAATCTGTCAGATCAATACATTCCTATAATCCCCTCCGGGACAATCATATAATTTGATGCTTACAGTTAAACTCTGAAAATTATGTGACCATCTATTACATAATGGATGGGACGTGTCCTCAAACCTTTTTTATCACTTATAATACAAGACAGGCCTACCCCATTTTTAAAAATCCCTCCTGTTATTGATAATTGCCTAAGATGCTTCTTCCTTTCCTTTTTCAGAATGAAGAACAAATTTTGGTATTTTGAGTTTGGCACATCTGAAACTTTCTCAGCCACCTGCAAGAAGCTACATGAATCTGTAGAAATAGAAGTAAGAAAATGAATTATCTTTATAATACTATGAAATGGCTTGAGTTTGATTATTAATATGTTGTGCTAGCCCATGGAAGGAGTTAGAATTTTAGCGACTCATATAGCTTTACCCAAGATTCTAAAACGTCATTTCTGTCACTCATTGAGAATCTAGCACATCTGAAATACTAATATAAAGTTAAGTTTGAGTATGAGTTGTTTAATACAGCATAAAAGAATGAGAGGTGGAACACAACTTTAGAAATCAGTGGGCATAGTATGGACAGAAAAATGTAAGATAAAAGGAAGTACTTGAAGGGAAAGAAAAAAAGTTGCAAAATACATTTTTAAAAACTTATTATTTTCAGGTCTCAATATCTTATAACCTTTAAAACACAGTTCACTAAAATTGTACTTACTTTTATGAATAAAGTTTAAAACATATACTTTTCCATTCCCATTCCCATTCATTAACTAGGTCTTTTCTCAGTTCCTGAGGTTGCCATTTCCCCATTACATTTGTAGGAAGTGGAAAAGCCAAGAAAGAGAGCAAAGATAGCAAGAAAAGATACACTTTAAAAAGATTTAGAGCAAATACGTCTACCAAAAATATAGACATTGTAGGACTAAAAATTTTGGAGACAAGTTATAATAGAAAATGAGTTAGTTTTATTGAGAGATTTTTAGGGGTTAAAGAAAAAGGAAAAGTTATATTTTGTTAAGTTGTAAAGACAAATCAAAGGAACAGAATTATGAAACAGGGACACCTAATGACTAGCTGATATGAATTGAGAAATACTGGCTTTAACACTTTTCTTTTTAAAAAGAAATAAATAACTTGTCTACTGAGACCTAAATCATTAGTGGCAAATATTAGGGTAATAAGTTGGGTAGACAAAAGTAGTTATGGACCACAGAGAGTCATAATGATGGTCTGGCTAGGTTCTTCATTATCCCAGCTTTCTAACTTACTATTAATGCTAATAACAGCAAAAGTGGTACTATTTCAGAATGTAATCTTTTGGGACTTTTTCCTCATCATGATTGACAAATAAATTGAAGCATTAGGGGTAGAATTGATTGTCATAGAATGGAAAAAGCTCTTCATGACTGAATCAGATCATAACCCTGAAAAGGGATATAATCACAAAAGGTAAAGGATTTGGGCTCAATAGGCACTTCCTGTGATTGCTATTTGTGCTGACAAATATGTGTATGTTTTATATATATATATGTATATAATACTTATACAGCTTTATGTACATATATATTTAGAAAAATCATCTAAGACCTCCCTTTACCTTCAAAGCTCATTATTTAAGAAATCATTATATAGTAGATTTTGAGCATTTCTGCCCTCAGAAACCGATGCTTGAAGAAAATCTGCAGTAAAAGGCAAAAATGAAAAAAAATTAAGGTATGGCTTCTGGTTGAATATAGGGTGGATACCCTGAAGCCTCTTGCACCTCTCCTTACTTTCGCCTACCACTGAATGTAGATTGAAAAAAAATTATCTAAGAGAGATATTTCATGTTCATGGATAGGTAAACTCAACATTGTTGTGATGTTAGTTCTTCTCAACTTCACCTAAAGATTTAATATAATCCCCAAATTCCAGTAAATTATTCTGTGAATATCAACAAACTGATTCTAAAGTTTATCCTGAGAGTCTAAAGACTCAGAATAGCGAACACAATATTGAAGGAGAAGAACAAAGTTGGAGGACTGACACTACCTGACTTCAAGACTTACTATAAAGTAGTCAAAACAGTGTGATATTGGTGAAAGAACAGACAAATCAATGAAACAGAATATAGAGCCAAGAAATAGATTCCCATAAATACAGTCTGCTCTTCTTTGACAAAGGAGCAAAGAAGGTTTTTTAAGCAAATGGTGCTGTGATGACTGGACATCCACAGGCCAAAAAAAAAAAATCTATTCACATTTCTTCACCCTTAACAGAAATGAACCCAAAATGGATCACAGAGCTAAATGTAAAATGCAAAACTTTAAAACTTCTAGAAGATAACATAGGAGGAAACCTAGATGGCCTTGGATATAGTGATGCCTTTTAGATACAACACCAAAGGCACAATCCATGAAAGAAATAATCGGTAAGTTGGACTTCACTGAAATTAAAAATGTCTGCTCTTTGAAAGACAATGTCAGGAGAATGAGAAAACAGGCCACAGACTAAGAGAAAATATTTGCAAAAGACATATCTGATAAAGGACTTTGTATATTCAAAATATACAAAGAACCCCTACAACTCAACAATGAGAAAATAAACAGCCGTCTTGAAAACTGGGCCAAAGACTTTAACTGATACCTCACCCGAGGAGCTATACAGATGGCAAATAAGCAGCTGAAATGACACTCCATATCATATTTCATCAGGGAAATGCAAATTAAAACAGCAGTGAAATACCACTACACACCTATTAGGGTATTGAAAACCCTAAAAGCTGGTGGGGATGTGGAGCAATAGGAAGTCTGATTCACTGCTGGTGGGAATGCAGAATGGTACCGCCACTTTGGAAGTTCGGAAGTTTCTTACAAAGCTAAACATGCCCTTACTTTATGATCCAGCAGTCATACAGTATATATGGTATATACCTAAAGGAGTTGAAAACGTTATGTTAACACAAAAACATGCACATGCTTGTTAGTAACAGCTTATTAATAATTGCCAAAACTTGGAGGCAAACAAAAAGTCCTTTAGTAGATGAATGGGAAAATAAGTTGTGGTATATCCAGACAATGGAATATTATTCAGTGCTGAAAAGCCACCAAGCTGTGAAAAGACATGAAGCAACCTTAAATACATTTTCCTAAGTGAAAGAAGCCAATGTGAAAAGCCTACATACTGTATGATGTGAACATATGGCATTCTGGAAAAGGTAAAACTATGAAGACAGTAAAAAGATCAGTGGTTGCCAGTTAAGGGGGACGGAGGAAGGAATAGGCAGAGCACAGAGGATTTTTAGGACAATAAAAATACTCCATGTGATGCAATGGTGGTGGCTACAGGTCATTATACATTTGTTCAAAGCCATAGAATGTATACCAAGAGTGAACCCTAATGGACACTGTAAACTTTGGGTGATTATGATGTGTTAATGTAGGTTCATCAGTTGTAACAAATGTACCACTTTGGTGGGGATGTTGATAATGGGAGAGGCTGTGCATTTGTGGGGACAGGGTGTATACAGGAAACCTCTGTACCTTCCCCTCAATTTTGCCATGAGCTTTAAACTGCTCTAAAAAGTAAAGTCTCAATTTACAAAAAACAAACATCGATCTATAGTATAATATTATGTATGTCACAAAGTGAAAAATGTCCAAGGAAAAGTTTGTGTCACATAGCAAAAGACGTGTGAGAAAAATAGGCATGGAAAACATTGATTTTAACATTACAAGTGATAAAATTCGGTGATTTTGTTCCACTGAGCTTTACATCTTAAGAAGAACTCTTTCGGGTCATGTTTCTACATGCCCTCCAAGTCTGGCTTCCCAGCTCTGCATTTACTGCCTTATTCTATGCACCACTGGAGTAGCATTTATAAATCAGAGACAGCACTGTGCACTCCCCATTCTATTGTTGCATATCTTGAAATACTGTTATAATTTTATGAATTTATCTTAATTCTAAAGCTTGTTTTGTGTGTGTGTGTGTGTGTGTGTGTGTGTGTGTGTGTGTGTGGAAGGATGGTAATGTAAAATCTGCTTCTCTACTCACTTTTTAATGAATCCAGTCTATCATATTAGCAGAATACGCCTTTCTACCCTCAAGGTTACTTCATAATTAAATATAATAAAAACAGCAGTTTGGAAATTTGATTCTGTTTGCTGTTGCTTCCTGGCCTAAAATTATACCAACTATGGTTTGAAAATATATGAGAGAATAAAACCACTTCAGTACAAGAGTACGTCAAGTAATGGATATATGTTTTAATGACAGCTTCTTCCAAACAAAACATTTGCTGTGTGACCCTTTACCTCATATCTCTCTTTCATTTAGGAAGCTGTTTTCTGAAAAAGGTGAATATTTGGAATAATATTAATATCACAGGCTAATAGTTGATAAAAACAATAGCTAAGATTTATCTATTATTAAATATACCTCATGCTTGGAGCTAAGCAATGCACATCCATTACCTGTCTTAGTCTTCGTCAAAATCCTATGATTTAGAGATTCTCTTGCATCTCTATTGCAGAGACACACATATGAGCATTTTCTTTCATGATTTAAAAAAAGAAAACAAGAATTGTGTTGCTTGCTGCCAGAATGTTTAAGGAAACAAATCATTTGGAGAATCAAAGTATAAATATATACATAAAGAGATGAACAAAGGTGAATTTTTTAATTTTAAGAATTTCAGTTATCTATATACATAGAGAGGTTAACAAACGTGAAATTTTTAATTTTAAGAATTTCAGGGGCTCCCCTGGTGTGGTGGCACAGTGGTTGAGAGTCCGCCTGCCGATGCAGGGGGCATGGGTTCGTGGCCCGGTCCGGGAAGATCCCACATGCCACGGAGCGGCTGGGCCCGTGAGCCATGGCCGCTGAGCCTGCGCATCCGGAGCCTGTGCTCCGAAACGGCAGAGGGCACAACAGTAAGAAGCCCGCGTACCTCAAAAAAAAAAAAAAAGAATTTCAGTTATCTTTTAACTTTGTAACAAAAGATAAAAAAATAAAAAGATTAAATGAAAAGCTTTAAATTTACAAGATAATATATTAAAAGCAAAGTTTGTATAAAACTACCTGGGGCTTGGATATGTACCTGAGAATCTCAGGTCACCATCTGGGATTGAAGCTTACAAAGTCCATGAGTTTTTTATTTGTTCCATGTACCAGGCAAAGTTCATGAGAGAATAAAATGGCCTATTCTCCAAAGTATTTGAGTCTTTTGTTGTTTGGTAAGACTTGGGAGGGTGGTATATTTTAAGGCCAGGAATTTCCTCAGCTACTGACCTTTGTCTTAATGACTAAGTATTTCTACAAAACCTAAATGAGCT